AACACAATCATGAGAACTAATTGTGTTAGGAAAGAGACTATGTGAAATATATTCGATCTAATTTATCAAACAACTGAATAGTTCAATACATCTCGTTCACTATTTAGCTGATATGTCCGATGGACTTTCACTAGGGAAGGTTCAAGACCAAAAGCTATCTATCTCGATGCACGATCTTTCCAAAGATGTACTCTCTATAGTGTGTCAACATTATCATTTGCATACTAACATCCAATTTTTCATTCATGTGGGGGATTGTTGAACCAAAATAGTTTTTAAGTGTAAAAAATTGAGTTTTTAGTCGACTTTGAGCCTAAATTAAAGTGGGACCCAATTGTTATTTTGAATAAAACTTTGTGGGTTTATATTCTACTCTGTGAGGAGAATAATGTAGTATATTCACTTACTTAAATCGAGTAAAAAATGAATGAGAAAACAGGCTTCAAAGTGACTCTCTTAAAATGTGAAAATAAAGAAAGTGCAATGTAGGATGTAACACCAATCCCACATTGGTTAAGGAAGAAATTCAACATGGGCATATATAAGCCAAGTTTGCTATATGGGATTGGGCCCCAAGGGGTACCACAGTTTTATGAGCGAAGCAAGCACCTACATGCCTTCAATTAAATCACGCGCGCGCGCTCGCGCCACCCGCCCGCCCGCCTCGCCTTGCCACGACCACAACCCGACCCGGCTGGGCCGGGCTCGGGTACGGGTATGGGTGTGATTTAGACCAAACCCTATCTTTTTGAAAAAAATTTATTTAATTAATTAGACGAGAATTTCTTAACCCGAAATAAATTTTTGGTACATGTTAGATCGCACTGGTTCAGATTTCTGCTTCCCACCAGTCTGAAATTCTGAGTTATGACTATTCAAATTTCTACTGACTATTGTGTCTAGTCATTATGGGTTGTGTCCTTTAGTAAGGTGACTGTCTGTAAGGTCACCAATGTGTCTATAAATACCCAAGCTCATTTTCATTAATTAATTCAATTAATCAGTCCACTTTCAACCATAAGATAAACATTAGAATATATCATTTTGGCATTAAAACAGTGCATTTAGAGAGTACACAACACAATTTTGGTTTACTGGACGAGCAGATTAGAGTGCTACTTCTGTTCGTGTAAGATCATTGTATCATGGGAGGCAGACACTCGATTTCCATAAGCACTGTGTGTGAGGGCGAAATCTGTCTAAAGGACATAGTATTAAACACTAGCATTGCTCTATCTAAAGTTTAATAACAGTTCCTGTTCTGCAATTGGGTTAGTATTTTTATCGTTTAAACAAACAGTTACGTATATTTGTTTGTTGTCTCTGTTTTGTTACCCTGCTATAACTCTTTCGTTTCTATGTAACTCTTTACTGTAACTGTTTTGTTATACTTTACATGGTTCATATCATAAAATTTAATAAGTGATTTTATAATATTTGACACACCACAAACAATAATATATTATAATAATGGCAAGGCCATATAAATATTATATTATAATAATGATAGTAAATAAAAGTAAGGCTAGACAAATAGCCACATCCATGGTGGGCAATGCCTTACTTGGAGGCTTTCGCTATGGTGGGCGACACCTCACTATTTGGCGGCTTTTGCTATGATGGGCGGCGGCCCACTGTCAATGTCCCACAATTGCCCTCATACCTCATTTAATAGAGTAAATTAAATGAGGTATAAACCATGATTTTTTATTATTGTGATTATTTTTTTATTTTCAGTCTTTGAATTGCAACCATGAAGGTTGGTGTAAGTGATGCAACCGTAGAGGTTGGCCCTAGGAGGTGCAACCATGGAGGTTGGCGTAAGGGATGCATCCGTGGAGGATGGCTTGAGGAGTGCAACCATAAAGATTGGCTTTAAGAGATGCAACCGTGGAGGTTGGCTTTAAGAGTGCAACAGTAGAGGTTGACTTTAAGAGTGCAACCGTAGAGGTTGACTTTAAGAATGCAACTGTAGAGGTTGGCTTTAAGAGGGCTCAGAGTTGTAAAGAACAAGGTTCTCTTTATTGATGATCCATAACGAATGTCGTTGTATAGTGTTATTGTAATGATAAGGTATTATAACCTAAAAGTAAAACTTTCTAAGATTGATGATATTCTAAGGTCGGTGAACTGGTTTGCCATCTAGCTCCTCCAATTTATAGGCTCCTGTCCCTGCTCGTGCCGTGACCCTATAAGGCACTTCCCAATTAGGACTCAGCTTGCCATCCGTAGGTCCTTAGTTTGAGCGAGAACCTTACGAAGAACCAAGTCACCAGGTGTAAAGCTCCTTTCTTTGACCTTCTTGTTGTAGGATCTAGCCAATTCCTGTTGATATGCTGCCAGCCGAATCATTGCTTGGTCCCTTCTCTTTTCCACAAGATCCAAGTTATGTTCAAGGGTTTGATCATTATTACCTTGCTCATAGACCTCGGTTCTTATAGTTGGTAGACCTACTTCAAGAGGAATGACAGTCTCTGTACCGTATGAGAGGGAGAAAGGCGTCTCTCCAGTAAATCGCCTTGGGGTTGTTCGATAAGCCCAAAGCACCATTGGAAGTTGCTCCACCCACTTTCCTTTGGCTGCTTCAAGCTTCTTTTTGATACCGTCAAGGATTACCTTATTCGAAGCTTTAGCTTGCCCATTTGATTTAGGGTAAACAAGGGAGGAATAATAATTGTGAACCCTATATCCCGAACATAATTCTTTGAATGCTGAGCTATCAAATTGAGTGTCATTGTCAGATATAAGGACATAAGGAATTTCATACCTTGTGGTTATATTCTCCCATACAAACTTCTTGGTATCAGTGTCGCGGATGTTGGAGAGTGGCTTGACCTCAATCCACGTTGTAAAGTAATTAGTTGCAGAGATGAGATACCTTTTTGTTAGATGGAGCACGAGGAAGAGGACCTACTATGTCGAGACCCCATTGAGCGAATGGCCAAGGGCTCGTGAGTGGATTTAGGTCACCTGCTGGTTGTCGAGGTACATTAGCAAACCTTTGACACTTGTCGCACTTCCTGACATATACTTGTGCGTCCTTCTGTATGTACGACCACCAATACCCCTAGGAGATAGCCCTTAAGGCAAGGTTTCTTCCTCCAGTATGGGCACTGCACACTCCTTCATGGATCTCATAGAGTAGATCCTCCACTTTGTTAAGATGGATGCATAGTAAGTACTGAGAAATACCTCCTTTAGAGCTTATGATCTGGTGACAACTAGTAACGGGCTGACTTTGAGACAATAAGTCTTGCCTCCTTATCTTCTGGGAGAGTCTCATTCTTAAGATATTGGACAAAAGGGTCCATCCAACTCGGTGCTTGCTCCGCGCAATTGACCTCTATTGGGTCCTCATGTATACTTAGTTTCTTGAGATACTCCACTACAATCGTTCGTTTTAAACCTTGTTTATCACCAGAAGCTAGAGTAACAAGAGCATCTGCTTGTTCATTCTAGTCTCTTGGGATCTGGATTACCTTGTAGGACGTCAACTATCCAAGCAAGTCCCTTGTCTTCTCTAGGTACAAGGTCATTGTGTTTGAACGGGCGTTGTACTCCTCGGATAATTGGTTGACCACCAATTGAGAATCGGAGTATATAGTCAACTCCTCTGCCCCCAGTCTCAATGCAGCCCGTACACCAAAGATTAATGTTCGTACTCAACCTCGTTGTTGGTGCAGCAAACCCCAACCGGAGGGACAACAGGACAATACCGGCTCCTAATCCTTTCCGAGTCGAGGATCCATCAACTTGTAACTCCCAAGGTGGGCCCTAAGAGCCAAGCTCCATGCTGCTGCCTGTTCTTTTGGTAGTTTATACGTAAGCTCTGTTATGAAGTCGGCTAAGACTTGTGCTTTAATCGTCATTCTTGGAATAAATTTGAGGTCATACTACCTCAGCTCAAGTAACCACTTTGCAATGCGACCAGAGAGATCTGTCTTACCAAGTACACTTCTCAAGGGGTGTCTAGTGATTATCGCAATGGTGTGTGCTTGAAAATAGTGGTTCAACTTGCGAGAAGATATAACCAAAGCAAAAAGAAATTTTTCGAGGGGAGTATACTTGGTCTCTGCCCTCAATAAAGTTTTGCTTACAAAATAGATAGGCTTTTGTTCCCTCCCTTCTGCTTGTAGCGACACTCCACTTACAGCGTGTTCAGATGCGGCTAAATAGAGTTGAAGCTCTTCCTCCTGCGAAGGAGTGGAGAGCAAATGAATTGTCTGGAGGTAGCTTTTCAAGTCATCAAGGGCCTTACCACACTCATCATCCCAATGGAAAGCCCGACCTACTCTAAGCAACTAAAAGTAGGGTCTGCATCAGTCTGAAGATTGACTGAAAAATTGGTTAAGGGCCGCAGCCAGGCTTGTTAACCTCTGAACTTCCTTGATTGAGGAAGGCTTCTTAATTGCCTGCAAAGCCTTAATTTGATTAGGATCAGCTTCTATCCCTCTTTGTGTCACCAAGTGTCCTAAGAACTTTCCAGAGCTCACTTCGAAGGCACACTTTGAAGCGTTTAGCTTGAGCTTGTGACGCTTCAAGATATCAAATATGTCTTGAAGGTCAGAAAGGTGGTTCTTTGACTCCTTGCTCTTAACCAACATATCATCTATGTATACTTCCATCGTTTGGCTAATCATGGAGCCAAAGAGCTTTGTCACCATTCTCTGGTAAGTAGCTCCTGCGTTCTTTAAGCCGAAAGGCATGACCTTTTAGTAGTAGATCCCATTTGGTGTGATAAATGTCTTCTCCTCATCAGAGCCAAACATGAAAATTTGATGATAGCTTCTATATGCATCTAAGAAGCTCATCCTTGCATAGCCAGATGTGGCATCCACAAATTGATCAATCTTTGAGACTGGAAAAAGGTCCTTCAGGCAAGCCTTGTTGAGGTCCGCATGCTGGAGAGTGGACCTCCTACTCTTTTGAACGACTGGCTTGCAAGCAGGGTCTACATTAAGATGATGGCTAGCTAATGAGGGATCAATACCTGGCATCCTTTAAGGTGTCCAGGAAAAGATCTCGATGTTCCTCCGTAGTAGCCCAATAAGAGACTCCTTCTCAGGTGTAGGTAGCTGTGACCGGATCAAGAAGTATCTATCCGGATGTGTTTGGTCTACTGGTATGACTTGCAACTCTTCGATTGACTTATCTTTGGGTTTATCCCCTACGTCCTCAAGGAGGGGGAGCTCTTCATCAGCTATGAACACCTGCTGTGACTTGGCCACCAATTTAGCCCTTACAGTAAGGCACTGTTTAGAAGTAACTTGGTCTCCACGGATCTCAATTATCCCTTCACTAGTAAGAAAACGTAACATCTTTTGGTAGATGGAGGCTATCGCTTGCATCTAGTGGAGCCATGGCCACCCCATGATGGCATTGTATAGTGACGAAACATCCACCACTAGAAAGTCCACCTCAACCACTTTGCATATCGGCCTTGACAAGAAGCTGCAACCTACCTAGAGGCCACATTTGCATGCCATTGAAACCAACGAGTGAGGTCATGGTTGGGAGGAGGTCGGCTTGAGTTTTTCCCAATTTCTTGAACAGGTCGTAATACATGATCTCCGTTGAGCTCCTAGGGTCAATGAGCACACGCCTTACTTGAAAGTCGCTCATGTTGAGAGTGAGAACAAGGGATCATTATGCGGGTGAACCACTCCTTCCAAGTCCACATCTGAGAATGTGATGGGAACACTTTCTAATTCTGCCCTTTGGCGCTTCGAAGTGTGACCACCATGGTGATCTGCTTGCATAACATGCTGAAGATGGCGGGCCTTTTGATACTCGATCTGAGACTGGATCGAGTCAACTTGCATCGAAGTGATACTGAAGATGACGTTTATTACCTTGGGAGGCTGGTTATCCCTTGGCTGAGGCTGATCATCTGGTTGAGTCTGTTGTACTGCCTCCTCCTTAGCAGCCTTTTCCTTGTCTATGTACTGGGATAGGTGACCTTGCTTGATCAACTCCTCCAAGTGGCGCATGAGAGAGCGACAATTCTCTGTTCAGTGGCCCTTATCCTTGTGATAAGAACAATAAAGGTTTTGACCTCTCTTGGAGGGGTCCCCTGCCATCTTTGGTGGCCACCTAAAATAATCCTTGTCTTTAATCTGATTTAAAATTCGATAGATTGGCTCTCTGAAAATAGTATCGACTATTTGGGATGAATCCTTCTTCCCCTTGGGCGTTTCTCCCCTCTTTAATGGGTTTATGGGGGCTACCCTCCTTCCTTTATTCTTCCTTGGTGGAGATTGTAGCCGATCAATTGGCCATTTGTCATCTTCCACCTTTACATATCTTCTGATGTGCTCCTGCAAGTGGGACATACTCCTGGGTGGCCACATAGTGAGATGTTTCTGTAACTCACACTCCCTTGGGAGGTCCAAGTGAAAAGAGGTAACAGCGATCTTCTCGTCACATTCTTTGATGTCGGCATAAGTCTCCAGGTACCTCGTGGCGTACTCTCGGAGTCTCTCCTCGTTTTTGGTGCAATGCCAAGAGTGTATCAATCGTCATGGGTTCTTAGCTGTTAGCTATGAATCAAGGAACAAACTCCCTAACGAGTTGCTCCCAAGAGTGGATGGAGTTCATGGGCATCCCATGAAACCACTTAAGCGCTGACTTTCCCAAACTAGAAGGGAACATCTTGCACATCAGTGCCTTATAATTTGTCCAGAGGGCCATCTTGTTGGTGTAAACTCCTATGTGAAGCACTGGGTCGGACTGACCATCACATAACTCAAAAGTCAGAGGATTGAACTTTCGTGGGGGTTCGGATTCTCATATGGACCGAACCAAACCAAAGGTGTGGTAGCCATCCTTGCGAGGTTCTGTCTCGCCCCTTCCTTCACTGAATAAACAAGGTCGTCATGAGCATAGTCATGTTGCGACAGGGTGGCCATATCATGAGCTGGCTCAGAACGCCTTCGTTTTTCTCCTCTATAGTCGTCCCAACGGTCTTCCCTTTGATAGCGAGAAGGACTTTCATGCCATCCCCTTCACTCCATAGGACGGCGTTGTCTATGTGTTTCACGCCCTCCCCTATGATGAGGTTGATCATTCCTCGAAGAAGGGTCTCTAAGGGTGCGGTTAGTAATGCTTCTCTTGGGTGAGTACCTGTTTCGACTTTGATTGTGGGTTGAGTAACTCCTTACTCGAGAATGGCTCCTATGCTGGGAGGAATAAGTTTTCTCAATGTGATCGTTACGATGATCATGGTTAGGGGTTAGTCGTCTGACCTCGCTAATGAGTTGCTTGCCACTCTCACGTAAAAGGCCTTGCCTGAGAGCTTCTAGCCCCTCTGTCTTCTTCTTGATTGCCTCATGGTAATCAATCTTAGTGGCTAACCCGCCTTCTGCACCGAGAGGTAGGTTGTGGTGAGGAGGATTTTCTCTTGAGTGGTCCTGCCCAACACGGGACAGCACAAGATCCTCGTGGATTGAGGGTAGTGGAAGTAATGAACGGTTGGTTCTGGGATTGAGAGCTCTCTCGCTGGTGATTGTGGGTTGAGTAACTCTTTACTCGAGAATAGCTCCTATGCTGAGAGGAATAAGCTTCCTCAATGTGATCGTTACGATGATCATGGTTACGAGTTGGTCGTCTGACCTTGCGAGCGAGGTGCTTGCTGCTCTCATGTAAGAGGCCTTGCCTGAGAGTTTCTAGCCCCTCTGTCTTCTTCTTGATTGTCTCATGGTAATCAGTCTCAGTGGCTAACCCGCCTTCTGCACCGAGGTAGGTTATAGTGAGAAGGAGGATTTTCTCTTGAGTGGTCCTGCCCAACACGGGACAGCAAGAGATCCTCATGGATCGAGGGTAGTGGAAGTAATGAACAGTTGGCTCTGGTATCGAGGGCTCTCTCGCTGGTAATGGTTTCAAGACTTCTTGGTTAGTAGAAAACTTAATCGTTTCCCACAGACCGCGCCAATTATGCGGGAATAAATCCACACAGAAAGTAACCACCTTGTACAGACAAAGTAGGTGGCGGAGAAACCTTGGTGAACCTGCAAGACAAGAGAACGCTAGGTGAACCGATGGCCGAAGGAGGCCAAAGCGACTCCAATGCTTAAGTCAATAAGCTAGTCGAAGAAAAAATGCATGGTGAATAGGCTCAAATTGAATTACATACCTGATACCCACAACCTTTATTTATAGCGACATAGGAAGTCGTGTTCCAAGTAGAATCGAATTCTAAGCTGTAATAGGATAGACCGTATCACTAATCTCCTAAATATTCGAGGTAGAATTATACTAGAACGTTGAGTCCTAGTTTGTAGAAAGAGATATGTTTACTGCGAGACTTTATTTATCAATATCTACTTGATACTCAGAGTCGAGTTTTACTAGGATTCTAGGTCCTGGGCCAATTTGGGAACCGTGCAGAGGAGACGCCAGGACGAGAGGCGTGGTGGCTCCAAGTGCAAGTGACTCCGAAGGCGGGGGCAGCTAGCTGGACGATGGCCTTGGGTACTATTGGCCAGGCCTGGAGGCTGACAGAGTGCTTTGGGCGACGCCAAGAGACTGGCTGGCACCTTGAGCGACGCCAAGACTGCTGGGCAGGCACCTTGGGCGAAGACTAGAAGCTGGGCAATTCCTTGGGCGACGCCAGAAGCTTTGTTTGCTGTGTAGGCGACCAGCATATATGTACTGTGTCTTGGTGGAAAAAAGGCTAAGTTATATTATAATATTGATAGTCAGTAAAAGCAAAGGCATGTAAATATTATATTATAATAATGGGAAAGTCATATAAATATTATATTATAATAATTATAATAAATAAAAGTAAGGTCAGATAAATAGCCACATCCATGGTGGGCGGCGCCCCCACTGCTTGGAGGCTTTCGCTATGGTGGGCGGCGCCCCACTGTCAATGTCTCACAGAAACCTTTAACGGGTTATTAGTTTACCTCTAGACAGATCCCACTGAATCTTCTAGGGCTCTCGTCAGCGACGGATTTACACGATTATCAGTGTGGTTAATGGACGATTAAAAAGAGATGACACAATCACAAGGTGGAAATAAATAGGTTATGTAGCCTGTGCGGTTCTATGAAGATGACTGGTTCGGTTGATGATTGCAGAGGGAAGAGAAAGAAGAGAGAGTGGGAAGAGAGATCGTGTGAAGTAATAGTAGGAAAAGTGAAATGAAGATCATAATTTAGGAGGACCAAGTGCAATTAACCCTTTAAATAATCCTAGGCTTAAACATTCTTTTTATTGTTTTCCATGTCAAAGAAACATAAAAGAAGAGTGAATCTATGCATGAGAAAGAAAGATAAAATGCAGTTCTTAATCACTTCTCAAAAGATTTCAAGGAAGCATGATGACAAATGACATACATCTAAAAAAAGGATTGGGGAGGAAATTACCCATCATCTTCATTTTGCAAAACCATCCCAGCCAGATTTGCAACTTCTTTAAGTGCTATGCTCCATCCTTCTGCTTTGTCTTTCCATTCTTTCTGTCTTTCTTGGGTTTCATGCCTCCAAAACCCTTCTGCTGATGCTAGACCTTTTGCTTGTTTTTTAACCTCAAAAGGATCCACATCATAAAACACCGGCAAAATGGCATGTTCAGACTTCTTACTATGTTCGAGAATCGTCTCAACCTCATAAAGGCATGACTTCGAAGACGCGAAATTTTTGGAGAAGACAATTATCGACATCCTCGACCGTTTGATTGCTTTCTGCAATTCTGACTTGATAATTTCTCCTCTCTCAATCCCTTCGGCATCTCTGAATGTGTCAAATCCATTATGTTTCAAAGCTGTATATAAATGATCAGTAAAAGTTTTGCGAGTGTCTAAACCTCTAAAACTCAAGAATACATGGTAAGTACATTGAGAAGTTGAGGAGGAGGGTGTTTGGGCTTGAACTATAGCCATTGGAGAAAAAAGCAAAGCTCTCAGCTGAGGAAAGATCGGTCAGGACACAATGCTGCAAGTACAGAATCAAGGCACCATACTTATAGGTACGAGTGGAACTAAGTTGTATTGTATTCGGCTTTCAACATATTTAAGTTTTGACTTTTAAAATTGGAAAAATTATACTTTGACCCCTAAAATATGATACCTTTTCACTTTGCCCTTTTAACTATCATATTTTTCACATTGTTTCAATTATGTGATTAGTGTCGCATTGCCTCAATTATTAACGTCCGCTACATATTCAATGAAATTTATTTCATTTTGTCTTCTGAATTATGTAATTTTTTCACCGTTCAGGACTTTAATTCTTGACTTAAGAGTCCGTTTGGTTAGAGAAAAAAAATGATGGAAAGTGAAAATAATAA